AAATATCTGTATGCGTTGATTGTGGATCAAAGCAGTTTATATGCACAACAATTTATTGCCGCCAACCAAAATTCAAACCTTGCCAGACCATTCGCATGGAAACTCATTACGGTTTTCAAATTTACATTTTTTTTGGGCCTAACCCTCAACATGGGCATTACTAAAAGAAATGAATTGAGGTTGTATTGGTCCGCAGACCCGATTCATCATATGCCGTGTTCTCTGCTGCCATGGCCAGGCATAGATATGAGAGTATAATGTGTTTTTATGCATTTCAGCGACAATACACTCTGTCATCCTCGGGGTAACCCTGAATTTGACCGGCTCCACAAAATTCAGCCCCTCGCAAATCACCTTAACCTAAAGTTTGCAGATGTCTATACTCCCCAGCAAAACATCTGCGTTGAGGAGTCCCTTATTAATTTTTCTGGCCACCTTGCATTCAAACAATGTCTCCCTGCATGCAAGCGTGCCAGATATGGGGTCAAGATGTAGAAGACCAGTGAGAGGACAACAGGCTATACTTTCGTATAAGTTTCGGATTTACGAGGGAAAAGATAGTCACGTGGAAGCCCGCCCGGATGCCCAGACTACATGGGGAGCAGTGGCAAGATAGTTTGGGACTTGGTGTCATCATTTCTCCCATATGGGGTACCACTTATACGTGGACAATTTTTATTCAAGCGTGCCACTATTTAGACATTTATTCAATCTTGGAACTGGCACTTGTGGCAAAGTGTGACCTAATGTGTGCCCACCATTAGAAGTGGTGGATGCAGGGCGGTATATTCTAATGGTGGGCATACCACACACTTTTTTCTGGCAGAGATTTCTTCTCATTTTTTTCATTCAGTCCACTGGCTGCATACAAAAAAAAAAAAAAAGAACATAGCAAATATAACCAACAAGGACCAGCGATGTACTGGTACATCACTGGATTTGAATGGTTATACCAGGCTAATGCCTACAGCTGCAGGCATCATCCTGGTATCATTTTTTTCAGCCGGTGATCGGCTTTCATGTAAAAGCAATCCTAGTGGCTAATTAGCTAGAGGATTTCTTTTACAAGCAGTGGGAGATGATGTCCCCCCTCCCCTGCTGCCTTCCAAGGCCTTCTCAGGCAGTCCCGTGCCATCAGGGGAACCTGAGAATGCAGCCGGTGTTTCTGCCAGCTAACCATAGAGCTGATTGGAGACCAGAATGGTGCCAATCATCTCTATAGTCTAAGAATTCGGAAGCTACAAGCATTTCATCACTTCAGTTTCGCAGGATATAAACAGAGCTATTTGTAAATTGTGAAAGCATCTGATCACACCGATTTTGTTTGATTAGATAATGTAAGGGCAGAGGAGATATCTAGAGTCTGATAGACCCCAGATTTCTCAAAAAAGAATATAACAATGCCCATTGAAGTTATAGGGGGTATTTGCATTCCCTGTTATAGCATTAAAAGTGATAAAAAAAAATGAAAGGTACAATGTAAAAATAATAAAACAAAAATCAAAATAATTAAAAAAAACAAAAAACAAAATTGCCCCTCCCATGCGCCCACACCCTGTGTGCACAAACCTTGACCTTGTGCCGTTATGTAAACAGCGGTTGCACCATACATGTGAGGTATTGGCGTGAACGTCAGATCAAGGGCAGTAATTCTAACACTAGACCTCCTCTGTAAATCTAAAATGGTAGCTTTTAAAGGCTTTTAAAGCGCTGCCTATGGATATTAAAAATGCTTACAGTTTGTCGCCATTGCACGGGGCATGCGCAGTTTTAAAGCATGTCATGTTTGGTATCTATTTACTCGGCATACCATTATCTTTTATATTTTATCAAACAATTGGCCAATATATTGTGTTTTTGTGCATTAAAAGTTAAAGTGTATTATTTTTTTAAAAATTGCTTTTGAAAAATCGCTGCGCGAGTACTATGTGACATAAAAAATTTGTAGTACCCACCTTTTTATTCACTAGGGTGTCTGCTTTAAAAAAATATATAATGTTTGGGGGTTTAAATTAATTTCCTAGCAAAAAATACTGATTTTTTTCATGTGAACAAAAAGGCTTGGTCTTCAGGTGGTTAGAAGAGTGAATGATGTGTGGCATAAACTTCTAATGCTGGGCATAAAATGCCCCCACCCCCCAAAACAACCCCTTTTGGAAAGTAGTCACCCCAAACTATTTGCTGAGAGGAATGTTGAATCAATAGAAGAGTTTATTTTTTTACCACAAGTTTTTGGAAAATGACAAAAATAAATATATTTGTTTTTTTTTTTACACAAAATTGTCACTTAAATGATTTACTGCTCACACATGCCATGGGTATATGTGGAATTACTCCCCAAAATACATTTTGCTATTTCTCCCGAGTATGGAGGTACCACATGTGAGAGACTTTTTGGCAGTCTAGCCAAGTACAGGAGCCCAAAATCCAATAAGCACCTTCAGGCTTTTAAAGGGCTTTATTTCCTCATTACACTTTCAGACTACCTATCTCAGTTTCGGAGCCCTGAAATGCCAGGATAGCACCTAACCCCCCCAAACTACCCCTTTTTGGAAAGTAGATGCCCCAAGGAATTTGATAAAAAGCACGGTAAGTATTTTGCAGATCTCATTTGTTGCCACAAGTTTTTGGAAAATGAAGAAAAAAAACAAACATATTTTTTCTATTTTTTTTATATTTCAAACCCTTGTGAGAAAAAATGAGATCTGCAAAATACTCACCATGCCTCTTTTTAAATTCCTTGGGGTGTCTACTTTCGAGAAAGGGGTCATTTGGGGGGGTTTGGGGCTATCCTGGCATGTCAGGGCCTTCGAAACTGTGATAGGTAGTGAGGAAGTGTAATGAGGAAGTTACACACCTTCAGGCTTTCAAAGTGGTCATTGGATTTCAGGCTCCTGTATGTGGCTATGCTCCCAAAAAGTCTCACACATGTGGTATCCCCCATACTCAGTAGAAGTAGCAGAATGTATTTTGGGGTGTAATTCCACATATACCCATGGCTTGTGCAAGAAATAAATCATTTAAATGACAACTTCGTGTAAAAAAAAAAAAAAAAAAAGTTTTTGTCAGTTTCCAAAAACTTGTGGAAAAAAAATAAATCTTCCATGGACTCAATATGCCTCTCAGCAGATAGCTTAGGGTGTCTAATTTCCGAAAAGGGGTCATTTGAGGGTGTTTGTACTATCTTGGTATTTTAGCACCTCAAGAAATGTGATGGGCAGTCAGAAAGTAAAAGCTGTGTAAATGCCATTATCTATACCATAGATTGTAGATGCTATAACTTTCACACAAAGCAATCAATATACACTTATTGGGATTTTTTTTAACCAAAAACATGTAGCAGAATACATTTTGGCCTAAATTTATTACAAAATTTTAGTTTTTTTAGAAATTTTTCATGACCAAAATGAGAAAATTTTTTTTCAAAAAAAATTTTTCTTCAAAATTTTTCTGGTTATAGTGCCAAAAATAAAAAGTGCACAGGTGATCAAATACCACCAAAAGAATGCTCTGTGTTAAAAAAAGGACATAAATTTATGTACCGTTTTGCATGACCGCGCAATTGTCAGTTAAACTAGCGCAGCGCTGTATAGCAAAAAAATGGCGTAAATTGCAGTATCTATACCATAGTTTGTAGACGCTATAACTTCCACACAAAGCAATTAATATACACTAATTGGGATTTTTTTTACCAAAAACATGTTGCACAATACATTTTGGTCTAAATTTATGACTAACTTTATTTATGACTTACTATATATTTTTTATAGCTGAAAGTAAAAAATATTGTTTTTCTTCAAAATATTTGGTCTTTTTTTGCTTATAGCGTGAAAAATAAAAAACGCACAGGTGATCAAACACCACCAAAAGAAAGCTCTATTTGTGTGAAAAAAAGGACGTAAATTTCGTTTGGGTGCAGCATTGCATGACTGCGCAATTATCAGTTGAATTAGTGCAGCGCCGAGTAGAAAAAAAGAGGCCTGGTCATTAAGGGGGGTAAATCCTCAGGAGCTCAAGTAGTTAAGCTCACTGTAGAAGAGGAAACCCCAAATAGTATGGCGCATAATTAACGAAGTGAGAGCACAGCAATAGACCCTGAGACTTAGCACGGGAGACTACTATAGTAAAGTATACGGTCCTCACTGAAAGGTCCGCTTTGGAAGGTCCTCGGTTGCACTGTTGGCAGAACTCATTCATTTCTTCTGTTCTCCACTAGTGTAGGCTGAGGTGACGTCACTTGCCGGCCGGCTTTGCTGGGCGCGGCTTTCCTCCCGACCTCGCCTGGCTCCTTCACCTCACGTGATCGAAAAAAGGCGCGGCCTGGCGCAAAGTGGGCGTAACAACCCGCCCATCTCTTCAGGTTAGAAAGCCAGTTTGACTGACAGGTCTGGTCAGTCCCTGGGGGTGGGAGGAGTTTGCGCGCGGGGTTGTGGGTGGGCACCATACTGCTTGAGCGCACACGGCATGCAGCAAACAAAAGGGGTGCCGGACGAGAGCGCGCACGACTCGAGAACGAGCAGAGGTGGCAGTGGAAGCATGCAGGAGCTCCGGGGGGAGGAGGAGCCGGGTGGAGAGGGCCCCCGGGGGCCACATGAGGGAGACGTCAAAGGAGAGTCGGGCCCCCGGGGGCCACACAGAGAGCACTTGAATCACGATACGCTGACGTCAACTGGACTTGATTTGTCCCAATTGGAAGCCGACTCCGGAGATGTCCAGGAGTGTCCGCGGAGCCTGGGCCCTGTGGATGTCCAGCCTGCAGAGCAGTGTCCGATGGCTCCGGTGTCATGTGTCCGGCCGGCAGAGGTGGATCCGGTGGACGCCGAGCACAGGGATGCTCTGAGGAGAGCCCCGAGCCGGGGGAGTCGCACACCACATACACCTTCAAGCCGTTGTTCCCAACGGAGCCTCTCCTCAGACCCCTGCTCACCGTCCAGGCCAGCCTGTACCCAGCACAGGGACAGCCCTATGACAAAGCCGCCTTTCTACCTCCAGGGATGAGCCCCTCCTGTGTCCACCTCTTCCCCCCAGAGCCTGCAGACGACGAGTTCCCGCTCATGCTGGACCCCATCTCTTCCCTGGGGCTCCATGACGACCCGGATGGAGATGAGGCTGCTATGGAGCTGACTGGCTCAGGCTCGCCTAGCCCAGAACCTGGGGAAGACCTCTTCGGTGGGATAGCAGCCGACCACTTGCTGGTCCACGAAGTCCGCAGAAGAGGAGTCAACATGACCGAGGGGGGTCCCGGTGCCCAGCTCCGAGCATGTGGCGGAGATTGTGGGCAGGCAGGGTCAGTATGTGAATTTTACACTATCTTTGTGGTGGAATTCTACTGATGCCCATTGATTGGTGGACACTGGAAATGGGGCCTTCTCCAAGAACTGTGCTTCAGGTATGGATTTGTTACATAGTTACGTTGGCCCACCTGGGATCAATGTAAGTATGTATATGTTGTACCTGTGGGAGATGGACATCCCTGTAGTAGCTGCCACTACTACAATAATCGCTGTCCTCCAGATCCCGTGCTGAGTGGCTGACCTGCACAGTAAACAAAGGGGGTTGCTTTAAGCAGAACTGAAGATCCACAGTTATTTGCTGGGAGTAAGGCAACCCATAGACTATTCAATTTTGTTTTCCTTTTTGGTTGGAAGGAAAGCAAATCACTCGATTTCTCCACCAGTATTGCTAATAGAATGTCTCCTACAGCGATATTGTGTTCTCCCTGTGCCGGAGGGCGTGTGGGGAACCTTCCCGGCCAACAGAACACGATTACTGCTACTGGCTGGTTGTAAAAAAAAAAATGCAGTAGGCTGCAGGTACCAAAGTCGGTCAATAGATCGACTTTGGTACAGTCAGCCTACCCATCCATGGATCAAATCCTCCAGTCCCTTCTAAACCAGACAAATTTGATCCATGTATGACCGACATGAGCTGTTTTTTTTGCTTTTTATATTGCAGAAGGGACATGCAATAAAATTTGCCTACCTGCTTTGCTCTGTGATTCCCCTGCACATAAACTGGTCAGCTTACAGCAGCCGGCCTGCTCCCTGCTGGAGTGACAGCCTACTGCAGGAGTGATGGTATTCCATGTCGGCAAATGAGGATGGCCGAAAACCTGCACACAGAGGAATATGGCTGCACTGGCGACAGTTGGGATTGTTGTGGGGGAAATCTGAGTGTTTTCTGTCTTCAGTTCTGCTTTAAGTTGGCCATAGATTGAAATTCTGTCAGTTCACCAAGGACCAGACAAATTTTGAGTCAGCTCTGTTTAGGTGTAGTTGACCTAATGGTCCATTCTTCTCACACAGGACTGTTGTTAAATTGTATTCAATCACATATGCAGCCAATCGGCTGCAGCATTGATCAGTGTATTCTAGCAGCAGAGGAGTACCACTGTCAGAATGCAATAGAGCAGTGGGGGGGGGGGGGGGGGGATTCCTTCATCTAACTCAAATGTGCGGGATGAGGTATCCATGTTTTTTTGTTTTTCAGTTGGCCGGTCAAAAAAAAAAAAAAAAAAATCCCATCTATGGTTATCCTTACTTGGCATGGGTACCATGCACTGAACGCCTCGCGTTTTCGTATCGTTACCCTTGCCTCTCCACTTCATCCAATGAGCGAACACCTCATATTAACTGAGAGAAGTACAAGGTGTTCTGTGTTTAGCACCTGTGTCAAGCAAGGACATCTTCTCCCCCCAGATTTCTAGAGAGCAGAGTAACCAGTAGGCATGGGACCTGGAAGACAGCAGTGATTTCTTTTTAGCTTTCATAGGTATGGTATATGCATAAACATATTGGTCCAGGCTGGACCATTGTAACTATGCAGTGAAATCATACTTGGAATTCAGCTTTAAAGCGGAACTAAATGTAAAAAATTGCAAACATGCAATACCTCTTCTGCACTAAAGTACACTTACCTGCCTATTTGCAATCCTCTGCTGAATGTACACTAAGCTGCGCATTGACCGCTCGCTTTACATTCCTGCACACTGCCAGTGTGTTGGGATGACTGCATTCCCACGCATGCATGGGAGTGACATCATCATGCAGCTGCTTATCACAAAAGCTAAATACCAGAATTCTGAGAGAAGATGCCAGAGAGGGACCTCTCGGACATCATACTGTTGGAACTGAAGTATGTGTCTTTAGTTTCACGTTAAAACCCATTTCTGGGCAATATTTATTTTGTTAAAACAGAATTAAACCCATTGTTATGGTTTCGCAAAACCATTACAATAAACGCATGTTGTGAATGCTGACGGTCACAGTTGCCAGCGTGCCCATGTTGGCTATCAACTGTCAAGCCATTCATTGTGATCTTAACTGATCACATGTGCAGCACCATGGCAACTGCAGCACAAACAGTTCAAAATGGCAGGCTCCTTGCTGTAAAGGATAGGAACATTTAGTTCCGCTTTACGTCATTTCATCACCTGTTAAAGTTGGTTATACTCACTTTACTACCCCTATTCAGGTTCCTCCATGATGCTTCTTTTGCCTGTGGTGACTTAGTCCAGTGCTGCACATTAAAGTGGAACTAAACCCCCCTATCCTTTTCAGCCAAGGAAGCTGCCATCTTAGCCTCTATTTGATCTGCAACTGCCATGGTGCTGCACATGTGATCTGTGATGACACCATCCATTTGATATTTTGGCAGCTTTGTTGAGAACATAAGCAAATGTGACAGCATTCCTGGCATGCCGGGAATGTAACTGTTTTTAGAAAATATTAAATTCATGGGTTTGGCTCCACTTTAACTCTCAGTAGCTGTCATTATTTTTCTGGATCCTGAGCAGACCCCTTTACTGGCCAGCTAGTGTCCACTTAACACAGTCAGTGACCCATCCTGGAAGGAAGCTGACTTGGGAAAATTGAGGGAATAAGAATTTTTTTTTTTTTTTTTTTTTTTTTTTTTTTTTTTTTTTACCAGCAATCTGAAAGAAGGGATGGCATGGATGGGTTTAAGGGGTTTTACTTTTATGCTGGAGTTAAAAAAAAAAATAAAACCACTAGCACAAGGATTAAAGCATGCAGTCAAACACAAGTCTTGAGGTTACGTTATTTTCCAGATCATCTTTATATCGGTCCAGTGTAGTGTTTTTTTTTTTTTTTTTCTTTGTTTTTTAGCCACTTGCCCTCCAGAGGATTTACCCCCCCCCTCCTCTCCTCCTCTCCTCCTCTCCTGACCAGGCCATTTTTTGCAATGCATTACTTTAACTGGCGATTGCGCGGTCATGCAACACTGGACCCAAATTAGATTTCTTTTTTTTTTTTTCCCACAAATTGAACTTTTTCAGAGGTATTTTATCACTACTGGTTTTTTATTTTTGAGAAAAAAACCATTTTTTTACTTTTTCCTATTAAATATGTCCAGTAAAAAAGTTTTAAAAATCAATTTCGTCATACATTTAGGCCAAAATGTGTTCTGCCACATGTCTTTGCTAAAACAAATCCCAATACATGTAAATTAATTGGTTTACATGAAAGTTAGTGTCTACAAATAGTGGTATATATATACTGGGATTTTTCCAGATCAGCGACTTATAGTGGGACTGCTGCAGTCATACTGACACTGGGGGGGACTGTCAGTGACATTCCCAATGACACTAATACAGTGATCAGTGCTAATAAAAAGCACTGACACTGTACTAATGACATTGGGCAGGAAGGGGTTAACATTTGGGGCGATCAAAGGGTCAACTGTGTGCTGTGTGTTTTGTGTGTGTGCGCTCTTTACTGTGTAAGCACATTGTTTTGTATTGCTATGCAGAGTTCTGTTTTGTTTACATACAGACCTCTCCCCCGTCAGTCATACTTGGCCATTGCCGGGTGCTGGCGGAATCACCATCTGGGACTCTGTCATTGACAGCTGAAGCCGCCATTAGTGGCGCGGGTAGGGCCTCCAACCTGGAAATGCAAAATCACGTATATATACGTGATTGTGCGCAGCCCAGCCACCCTGTAGCAGTATTTCTGTTATAGGGCGGTGGGGAAGTGGTTAAACAGAATGAACAGAACAATCATTAAACTAACCAATACGCAGTTCTCTGCAAGTCTGTGGAAGAGAGGATTTAAAGAATAGTATGCCAAAATGAAAAGCAGAACACCAGGCCTAATTCCGGCATTTTAGGTAACTCCCACCCCCCCACCCTTTCATCCAGTGTATGGAACTTTAAGACTGCATGTACATCACTGACTATCACTTAACAGAATTAATGCACCAGCGGCGTCAAATGCAGCCAGATTTTGCACGCCATACTAATTTTAATAAGACTATTAATTTTAATAAGCGATACTATCACGTTATCCATGTAGGATAAAGTGATAGTATCGCTGGAAAGAGCATCCCCGAACCCTCCTTTATTTACTTTGTTTGCATTCCCTCCTTGCTCCTCTTCTACAGCTAGCAACACTACCAGACACTTCAGGGTATGGAGAAGCATGTTATCTGCTCCATTGTGACAGTGCCTGGGCTAAGCAACCAGTTGCTAGGCCAAAGCAGATTCATATGACTAGGGTAGTGATATCACCACTCCCCTAAGTTGCTAATACAGTTGGTCTCCGAGGCAGCTGCAGAGGAGCAAGGAGCTGCAAAGTGACGTAGGTAAGGTGAATCTATGGGGTGGGGTTATGACCTTTCTAGAGACACTGCCACTTTGCCCTGCATTGGCAAGGTGACAGGTTTATTTAAGTCCATTTAAAACTATATGTCCAGCCAAGACTGCCATGTTAAAGTCCAACTCCAGGGACAAAAAAAAAAAAATACCCTTGTAGTGAAGTCTAGGGGTAGAGGAATAGGATATATTTACCATGTTCTTTGTTCTGTCAAGCTCTCGCCATCTGTGCAACCAATCCCCAACTGCGTCTTCCCTTACATGCTCCTGGCCTTGTTCTTCTAAGCTTTTCCAATAGTCCTACGTTGTCATAACAGTGAGTGAACACCTATATACCAGAGCGAAGGAGGGAGGATTGAAGCTTGCCAGAGTGAGGGGTAAGGTAAGTAATACAGCCTCTTCCTCTACCCCCTAGAGTTAGTCTTTAACCTTTGCAGTGTGAGGTCCACTGCAAGGGTTTTCTTTTCATCCTAGAATTGGGTTTGAAATGAATTGGATAACTGACCTACAACTTACAAGGACATTCATGGCAAATTAAGAGTCAGTCTTGTAAAAAGAACCCCTTCACATACTTGGAAGTTGGCCACTAAGTCCCAAGCACTGCATCCTCCATATGCAGTAATACTCAAGCCTAGTACTTTAACCCTTGTGCTGCTAGAGCCTTTTTTTTTTTCTTTTCATTTTTGCACGTTTTAGGGCTGATAATTACCCCCAGAAAGCAGAGACCCTGAAGAGTAAAGTGATAGCTGTTGTAATTTTTAAATTCAATAAGGTAAACAGTAGTGCAACTTTCTTGTGACATTAAAAAAAGTAAGCGGATGAAAAATGGATGTACACAGAACTAAATGGAAGATAAATTGATGTAAACTGGATCTGTTTTTTCTTAGCAAAAACGTGACTAAACTCATGCAACAGGCAGACTGCCCAGGTGAAAGGGGCCATAGTTTTACCGTATTTGCCGGCGTATAAGACGACTTTTTGACCCTTGAAAATCTTCTCAAAAGTCGGGGGTCGTCTTATACGCCGGTACACATGTTTAGGGGGGCTGCGGCATTAAGTACAGGGTTTTGCAGGGGCTGATGTCTCTTACCTGGATCCAGTCCCACGACGATCCGGTCCAGGAGGCGCGGCGTCTCCTTCAGTTCGGCCACTGGATGTTCGTGCGGCTGCTCGGCTCCGCCTCCTCACCGGTGATTGGCCGCCAGAACTGTAGCTCAGGAAAGGCACACAGGCGGCCAATCACCGGCGAGGGGGCGGAGCCGAGCGGCCCCCGCGAAAATTGAGTGCCGGAGCAGCAGGTAAGTGTTCTGTGTAGAGGTGCTGCTGCAACCACATATGCTGACTGCAGCAGCACCATACGAGAACAGGGTCAGCAAGTCTCAGTGGGAGGAATAGTGCCCCATCATTGGTGTCACTGATACCAATGATGGGGCACTATTCCTCCCACTGACACAAACGATGGGGCACTATTCCTCCCCCCCACTGACACCAATGATGGGGCACTATTTCCCCCCCCCCCCCCCACTGACACCAATGATGGGGCACTATTCCCCCCCCCCCCCCCCCACTGACACCAATGATGGGGCACTATTCCCCCCCCCCCCCCCACTGACACCAATGATGGGGCACTATTCCCCCCCCCCCCCCCCACTGACACCAATGATGGGGCACTATTCCACCCCCCACTGACACCAATGATGGGGCACTATTCCACCCCTCACTGACACCAATGATGGGACACCATTCCTCCCACTGACATCAATGATGGGGCACTATTCCTGCCACTGATACCAATGATGGGGCACTATTCCTCCCACTGACACCAATGATGGGGCACTGTTCCTCCCACTGACACCAATGATGGGCACTATTCCTCCACTGACATACAATGATGGGGCACTATTCCTCCACTAATGCCAATGATGGGGCACTATTCCTGCCACTAATACCAATGATGGGGCACTATTCCTCCCACTGATACCAATGATGGGGCACTATTCCTCCCACTGATACCAATGATGGGACACTATTCCTCCCACTGATACCAATGATGGGGCACTATTCCTCCCACTGACACCAATGATGGGGCACTATTCCTCCCACTGACACCAATGATGGGGCACTATTCCTCCCACTGATACCAATGATGGGGCACTATTCCTCCCACTGGTGTGCATTGGAAGAGGGGTAGTCTTATACGGCGAGTATAGCCCAAACACTACATTTTAGCAGGAAAAGTAGGGGGGTCGTCTTATACGCCCAGTCGTCTTATACGCCGGCAAATACGGTAGGTGTAAATATTATGCCATCTAATTTAATTGATTGTGGCTGGAGACAGAGTAAGGTGATTGTGGCAGGTGGGGATTTGAGAGAACGTGCAGGAGCCAGTTAATGACCATGAGGGAAGAAGGAAGTGGGAAGGCACAATACCAGCTGCATATAGCTGATAGGTAAGGAGCTGAAGGTAGTAAAATGGCAGCAAATTGTGGGTCAGGGGGCGCAAAGGAGGTAGAGTGAAATCTTCATAGCAGGAGGTGGAGAGAAGTGCAAGTTGACCATGAAACATTGGGAGGAGACAGAGCTTTGGCTCATTCCATATTAGGAGTGAGAATATAAAAATAGTCACGAGTTAGGGGAAGGAGAGAGTAGGCAGAACGACAACTGATTGTTAAAAGGAAGGAGATGCAGCTGATCTTGTTCCAGTGAGAGGATGCAAGGGAGAAACTTGTGTTGGACTGGAATAGGAAGGAAAAGCACCAGATAGGTACAATAAGTCATGAGTAACCCCTGGTTCACATCTGTGCGGGCCACAATTTGCGTGGGCACGAGAGCCCATTTATTTGAATGGACTCCCGTGCCCCGGGACACGCAGGGAAGAAGTCCCTGCGCTGCATGGGAAGCCTAGCCTAGCGCGGGAACCGAGGTTTCCAGTACAGTTTTAATTTCCAGTGCGGGCACCATGCCATTAGAATTAATGGCACCTGCCTACGGGTCCGGCATTTCTCTGTGTGGGTGGTGCAGCTGCAGGTTTTTGTGTGGGTCCCACAACGACACCACCCGCACAGATGTGAACCAAGTGTAATTCTAAATAACTAAATGACTGCTATTTACACCCCGCCCAACAAGCTCTGCCTGGTATCTGTAATATTATTATTATACAGTATTTATAAAGCGCCGATAGTTCACTCAGCGCTGTACATTACAAAGGGGGACAGAACATGTGACAGAACAATACCGATACAATGCAAAACATGAGGGGATCGAGGGCCCTGCTCTTTCGAGCTTACAATCTAGAAGGGACGGGATAGTGGTACAGGAGGAGATAGCTGTGGGGGATGGAGTGGTAGGAAGAGTGGAGAAGGTCGGTCAAGTTAGCAGGGGTAGGCTATATGGGTATGGTTGTCAAATATAACCTTGCTTGGAACCAGCACAATAATGGATCATTTGTAGTTCTTATGTGTTAAATGTTTAGCACGGGGGTCAGCAACCAGTAGATTGTGGCCTGGTATAGAACGGTCTGGGCTTGGTGACCCACCATCCCAGAGCATCAAACAGAGTGCAATGCCGAGGAACTACTTGTAAAGTTGGAGCTGTAGTAGGGAGCAATTGCTGCATATGCTCATGCCTCCTCTGTAGTGCTGGCTCCTGTCCCATGCAGAGTGATACCAACTGAACTCAACCTCTTATCCCGGCTAGCGGTCTGCAAATTGGCGCGAGCAGCAGAAAAGAAGAGATCTTCAGGTCAGGCCAGGAACCAATACACTGGGCATAATAGTATAGGGCTCCTTTCCAACTGATATATTTATTTCAGGTACTTGTATATCAATTTACGCAGTGCATTACATATATATTGTACATTCACATCAGTCCCTAACCCTCAAGGGGCGTACAATCTAAGGTACATTAACTAACTTACATTCATACATACACACTAGGGACAATTTAGACAGGAGCCAATTAACCTAGCAGCATGTCTTTGGAGTGTGGGAGGAAAACCGGAGTACCCGGAGGAAACCCACGCAGGCACAGGGAGAACATGCAAACTCCAGGCAGGTGGTGCCATGGTTGGGATTCGAACCAACGACCCTAGTACTGCCAGGCAGAAGTGCTAACCATTTAGCCACTGTGCTGCGGTTTACCTACACCGTGGGTGCAGTGTACCTGCAGGTTTCCTGTGGGTTTGCTGCGCTTAGCCGTAGACCTCTATTATATCCTTCGGGTTTGGTGCACTTTCTGAAACTGTACCACACCTGCAGGATATAATAGAAGTTTATGGCAAAGCGCAGCTAACCTAGGAAAGTCAGATACACTGTGGTGCAAGTGAACTGCAGCACGTCAGTGTGAAAGCAGCCTTTATAGGGGGCTCAAAACAGTAAGGGATTGTTTACATTTGCAGTTTGGGAAGGTGGATGGGGTGGTAAAACCCCATAGAGAAGACACGTTTTTACCACGCTTGCCCCAACTGCACCCCCTATAGCTAGGGCTAGGGGTGTACACATGCCTCAGAAGGAGTTATACACCGTCATGGTTGGTGGGTGTAGCACCTGCCAAGCATGACCCATTTAAGTGAATGAAGCTGCTCTGCAACCTTGTGCATTACAGCAAACAAGGAATTAAAGCAGGCAGCATTTTGTTGCTTTTTCACCACCTGTTTTGACTCCTTGGACCCTGCAGTTGCGGGATGCTTGCAGAGGGGTTGCCTAAACTTGGTTTATCAGAACGAATCAGTCATTGCTCTTATTATTTTTGTTATACTGTATTTGTTAGTGTTACAGTAGTTTTAGTGAACTTCACCTAGAGAAGTACATCTCTCTGAACTGCTCCTCATTTTGAAACTTCTTTTCAAATATGAAAAGTCTGTGATATTGTCTTCATTTGTGTTTTCTCTGATTATATATCTGACTTACATTAAATTTTTACAGGATGCAAAATTAAAGCCCTGAGAGCCAAAACAAATACTTATATCAAGACCCCTGTACGAGGAGAGGAACCCATCTTTATTGTGACTGGTCGTAAAGAAGATGTTGAAATGGCAAAAAGGGAGATCTTGGCAGCAGCTGAACATTTTTCCATCATAAGGGCCACCAGAAATAAGATGAATGGAATTGCTGGAGCTGCACAGGGGCCTCCAAATTTACCAGGTCAAACTACTATTCAGGTCCGTGTACCATATCGTGTTGTTGGCCTTGTTGTAGGACCAAAAGGTGCTACAATCAAGAGAATTCAACAGAATACTCATACTTACATTGTGACACCCAGTCGAGACAAGGAACCCATTTTTGAGGTTACAGGAATGCCAGAGAATGTAGACCGTGCTAGAGAAGAAATTGAAGCTCACATCACTATGCGGACAGGCTCTCTAGTAGATAATCATCCAGACAGTGATTTTCACTCTAATGGAACTGATGTTTGCATGGATTTGCTAGTTGGAGGCGCAGGCATATGGTCCAAGCAGCAAATTCCTCGCCATGGCTCTAGTGGATCACGCACAGAAAGCCTCGGCTCATCCATGGAGAGCCCATACTATGGGTCATCTGGCAGAGAACAAAGTCCAGCAAGCCCATGCAGGTCTGTTGTAGGTAGAAGCTTTGCACTAAGTGGGAAAACACTTGGTAGTCAACATACTGTGGGCATAGAGGATTGTGAGCTTGGTTTGGAATATCTTGCACTAGATTCAAATACACCTACAGCTGTTTGGTCACCCTTTGAACCATCCAGTGGACATCTTCAAACTTTCAGTGGTTGCCACACTCAAAGGAGAAATAGTGTGTTTAGTGGAAGTTCTACACCGCTGCTCTCTCCTTCTTTACCTGATCATGGCATTGGACTGGAACATCCTCTTGCCCGTCGGATACATAGTGATCCAGTTAGTAGTATTTCATGGCTGCCAAGCAAAGAATCCTTGTCATCCTTCTCAAACAGTGCTGGCTATTCATCATCCTCTTCTCTTCCTGGCAGTTCTTCAGTGGCATCTGGCTCTCCCACTGAATCAAACAGCTCAGATGGCCAGCGCAAGAGTGGACGAGACTGCGTTGTTTGCTTTGAGAGTGAAGTAATAGCAGCCTTGGTTCCCTGTGGGCACAATCTATTCTGCATGGAATGTGCTATCCGGATCTGTGAGAGGCAGTTACCAGAGTGTCCTGCCTGCCATGCCCCTGCCACCCAAGCAATCCGCATATTTTCTTAATTGCATGCTTATCCAGTGACAACAGCCCATTTGGCATGCATTAAACCCTGCAACACTTCAAGGGTTCCATATTTTTCATTTATGATTTTAACACAATAGGGGGATTCTTGACACATTACCTTAAAAATAATAGGGCATATTGTCATGGTGGTAACCCCCACCCCCAGAAAAATAAAGCTACATTTTACAGAACATTCAGTCACTACTTAAACCTCATTCTTATCAGCCAAGATGTGGGAATCCTAGTTGATGCCCTTCAATTTTCTTTTTATCCCAGTGTTCAGTATATAGAGAATAAAACGATACAATAGAACTGCACTTCTCTATCTAGTAAATTATAGACAAATGAGAGAACATCTCTTCTAATGTTGAACTATTCTTATTGCAGTTCCCCAAATGTTTGTTAGATGCAGGTTCTGTTTAATTCAGTTTCTTAAAACATCTAATCAGCAGAAGAGACCCAAACACAAAACCTCATAAGACATTTTATTGCATCTTTTAATCAGTATTAAAAATATAATCTTGTAGATAATATAGCACTATGATGTTAGTTTTGGATAGAGTAGGGATGCTTTTTTTTTTTTTTTTTTTTCTTTTTTGCCTGTGTACCATTGAGGAAATTTCCCTTAACTTCCTGTCCCTGAGATGCAACAGGAAGTGAATGGAAATGTCCCACAGTGAGGGGAATCCTGTATTGAACAGTTGTCTCTGGAACATGTGCCCCTCTTAGAGTGAGGTGAAAGCAAAAATTTTTGAGCTGGACCATAGAATACAGGGTGAAAGGAAATCTTCTGTTTTGGTGAAAATGGTTTCCAGTCAGAATGGGGACTCTGCAATAAAATCTTGATAGTTCTAACCCTTCCCTACTCTGTCCAAACAAACAAAAATGGTTTTGCCTACTGATACTTTGGGTTCTTTTTATAAAGCATGGAATGTGACTTTCACAAACATTTACTAGTGGAGAATCAACCATTGCCATTTAACACGTGCACCTAGATGGTTCTCCGTCAGAGAATGTTTGTAAAAGTAAATGCTCTGCTTTAAAAATAGACCCCCTTTAAAGTGATTCTAAGGGCGTAAGGTTTTTTTACCTTAATGCATTGTCTGTATGAAGTTATAAAACCTGTGATCAGGAAACCGAGCCCCCCTAAACATTTACACGAGCCCAATCCTGATCGAGTGCTGTTCCCAAGATCAGCGTCTCTTGTCTCCCTCTCTCCTGACCGGACATAGAGGGAGAAGTTCCTGTTTATGTCAATTCATGTTGGGGGGGCAGGATTGGGCCTGTATGAGTGCCCCCATAGGAAGTGGATTCCTATGGGGGCATTCACCAGAGAGGAGGAGCACCAGCTAAGTCCCCAGAAGGGGAGGTTCAGGGTTGCCCTGTGCAAAACCATTTTACGGAGCAGGTAAGTATGACGTTGGTTTTTTTTTTTTTTTTAAACGTTTAGATTATCTTTTAGTAGGGACATTGAAAGGAGTTTGGCTGATATGAAATTGGAGAACATTCAATGGTGACTTTTTTTTTTTGTTAGTGTGTGCTCGAGGGCAGTCACCCTCCCTTTTTTTTTTTTTTTTTTTTTTTGCCGCAAACCTGGTCCATATTAGTTGTTTTCAAGACTGATATGCATGCACTTGGTCCACCTTGACTTTCTATGTAGAAAAGGAAATTTAAAGATGTTAGCCCTGGAGTAAGCACCTTAAAAGACAGGTCAGCGATGGAAATTTTCTTTCTTTCTATCCTTGTGACATTTTGAATCATTTTATAGTTACACAGTATTTTCCCCTAATCCATGGATGGTCTAATACTTTGGCGAAAACTGGTAATTTTGAGCATCACAGTTTGTGAATAATCTTGACAGACTACCAGAGTTTGCCTTTAAAGGAGATTGAATACTTTTCTGTGAAATTGTACATGGTTATAACCTATTACTGGGTTGCACTTTGTTGCTATAATATCAAGCAAGCACATGTATGATAATTCTAGGCAAAAACTGCCAATGAGATTATCCCTTCCATGTTTGCAGTGCAGCCTTGAAACTGAATGGAAGGATGATCTGGTTTCTATGGGCAACAGTATTTTTTGTTAACGGTTACACACATTCTCAGGTTCTTGGAGCCAAATGTATGTCCTTTAATTACATGACAAAACAGCATTTCTTTATTAGGACACTAGTTGCTCTAAAGACAAAAATCTACAGTACAGTTACCATTTGAAATCTTCTTTTGTAACCTGTGCTTTAATTATCGCACATTAGTGTACTTATTTTTATGATGTAAAGTCACGGTTTTTTATTGGAGGGTTCTCACTTTTGTAGGCAAGCTGGAAGCTGCACAGCACAGATTTCTGCAGAGATCATTCTGTGGACATTGGCTGTTAAGTGTCATAAGGAGAATTCAGGTATATACTGCCTAAAAGCTACTAGATTTTCTCTAGAATTACAGATTATAGTGATTACAAATAAAAGACCTACCAACTTGTAGTTCTGCAGCTAAAAATCTAAATGCTCTCAATATTTATACACTCCTAAATCTGTATATTTACAGGATTTTCGATCTACAAAAGCAGCCACCTTAGGATAACACTGGGGTAGACTGAATGATTAGGAAGGTTAAATGCCAATAATAGAAAACACTTGCTGGTACTAACTGTTGATGTCAACAACGTATATAGAATGTTAATATAATTTTCTTGTTTGTTTTTTAGTACAGTGTACATTTTAAAACTGCCATTCTACCAAAGTGTGTTCAACCTTTAAAAATGTGGCTGGGCATGCCACTGAAATGTTTGCGAGGTGGATGTAGGTTCCTTGTTAGTGCTTTTGCTATTCTAAGAATCCAACACAAAGTTTGTCCACCTCCAGTCTGCCTCTAGCCATTTTTAATGATAGCATATTATCTTCCTTGCAGGCCACTTGATTGAAAAAATAATAATTTAACATACTGACCACAAAAGTTAAAAGCGTGTACCATATGGAGAATTAAAATGCCAGATTCCATTGGCTGATTAAATGGCCCCCAAGACAGTTCATGTCTGTCTTTGTTCAAAACACTTATAGGAAAACCTCACTGCTTGAAGATGATGTTAAAGTTGTAAAGCAAGAACTTAAATAACAGCAGTGGATTTTGCACCATTAAAACAAATTGCTATTGGCAGCTATCATCATCATTGTTGCTTCAAATAACTCCTTTTAATATATATTCTTTTACTTTCTCTTCAAGACATTTACTTGTATGTGCTAGTGGCTAAACTCCTTTTTCTTCATTTTAATTATATTGGCTGTCTGCTGAACCAATCTGTATGTAATAGGGGATCAAATCCTATTGCTTGTAGCAAATGTGTCACTTATTCATGGTAAATTTAACAAGTTCTGTTTAGTCTACCCACTCTGCTTCGAACATGTACCTTGCCCCTGCAGCCCTAAGTAGAATGCCATGTGTGAGATAAAACGGGGTGAAGGACTTTCCCCCATGTGATGGTGCTTGGGTCTGGTAGGAACAGGTCAGCGGAAGGCATGAGAGAAGGTAACATGCTATTCATGTTTGAAAGAAGACTATTTTTAAGAGCCCTACATGCCAAACTGTGGCTCGTAAATATGAAGGGGGGGGGGGGGGGGGGAGTATTCGTAACGGAGAAAGTGGGCTATGAGAACCGGTTTGTTTTGCCCTGAAAAATGACAGGTTTCATTTATAGGACCAGGAAGCTTAAAATAGAAATCCAGTCTAATCTTAAAACTGACTCCTTCCACTTATACTAACCTGTAAAGGAAAATGCATATACTTGCCTATTTGAAGGTAGCTTCAGTCCTGTGTCATCCAGTACCAGCTACAGAAAGAGCGCTGACAACAGATTGGCCATAGTAAGCCTATGGGTGACATCCGCACAGAGGCATTAAAAGCTGTTG